GACCAGCCAACAGGTGTGGGAAGTTAATGAACAATAAAAATATGACAAAACATATTTACCTGTGATCAGACAATTGATATCATATTGTGGTCATTCATACACCAGAGCTGATCACATGACTGGAAGGAAACCCAATTTGACTACCAGAAGGGATTATTTTCACAGAGTCCCAAACTTGACAACTGCAAGTAGCTGTGGAAATATTGGACAACATTAAGACAGAAGACATATATAGAATCATGAAAATTGAGATGCAGAGAAGTTGTGTGCAGATAAAGTTTGGAGTTGTGTTGGCCATGCTGATGTTCCTACAGATAGTGAGGCTTGGAGACTGTCAAACAGGTAATCATTTAACTTTTTGTCACTTATCACAGAATTTGTACCAGTAAATTCTTTGAAGTACACGGGTACCAAGCTTCCATGTATTAATAGAGACACACTCTCGCTATGGTTGTTATGCTAGTACTGTATCTTCTTTTGTGACAATGGCAATATCATAAATTTTCAAATCCTACTAGTATTTTCTTAAAAACATTCCTATTGTCCCAGCTTTTTAAGGAAAGCCAAGAATGTCAATTTGAGTTTGTCTATAGCTTTGCTTTCTAGAAGAGAACGAATCCAGTCACAACTTGGGAATGATTCTATAATTGCAATGATCAAATTATTTTCAAAGATGAAATGAATTTGTGCATATTTAGGGTGAAGGCAATGCTTCAAAACTGATACAATGTCACTTTTCAGATGATATCTTGGCATAGATTTTCACCAATTTTGGTTTAGACATACTAATAGTAGCAGATATGTATATGACCATTTTGCAATGGGGTATATAGATTACTCTAATAAGCATTCTTTAACTTCTAAACTTGAAAATTTCCAATCCTCGATCATCCGTCATAAGAGATAAGGAAGAGTTAAGAATGAATTACCCCGTTTCCTAAATAAAGCACACACTCGAAAGATTAACTGTTATTTGGAGGCAAAATATAAAATGTACCTACACATGTACATCCATCCAAACATTGATGACAAAAAGCAAATTTGTACCAGCACACTGAAATACTGAAAATATAGTCATAGCTATGATAAAATGATTTGGCCATCATGGATAAACAGTGTATTGATGGCAATAAACTTTTATCTCTGTATGTATTCTTCAAGTTCAGGAACTTTGTGTAAATATTACGGACTCCTTAATCAGTTAGTCAAACCAGCTCCTGTAACCACCTCTATTCAGAGACCACCTGTGTTAAGAGACCACTTTTAACATTCTTCATTGTAACAATTTCATTGTGAAATGAATCTGTATTAAAAGACCACCTGTATTAACCCTTTCAACACTTTAGACCATAATGGACTCATCCATATCAATTTACGGTAGAAGCTATTAAGGTTACATAGGGGTGAAAGGGTTAAGAAACCACCTTTTTTTTTTACTTCCAGGGGGTGATCTCTCAATACGGGTTCGACTGTGTTATTCAGGGTCAGCGATATTCGATTGTTATAGTCAAGTTGTCCTTTCATACTTGTTTGAGAGGATGCATTATAGCTCCACATGTACACAGAGTCATTGGGGGTTGAGTACAAACCTCTAATTACCTACCCAAGGTCTGGCTAGTACCCCGGTACCTTCACAGTGTGTATATATGTATGCTAGAGGTGGCAGAGGTGCTCTACATGGTACGGATCTGTAATTTCAACAATACCCAATCCAGACCAGGTTCAACTCCACATAAGGCAGGCAGGGTTGGGCAACAAAGACATCAATGTATCTTGTTCAAGAATATTGCCGCAGGATCCTAACCTAACATTTTGGTCAATACTGATTAGGTTGGTGTACTGTGCTGTAATTATGCCCCTCAGATGTATGTTGAATTATACATTGAACATTAATTACAAAATCTTTAAATTTTATAATGATATTTGCAAAATATCTTTTGCTTTTTATTGAAATATTGTTGACATGCTAATATACACATACATTTTATGGATTCAGTATTTTGGTGACAAACCGATCAGGAACATTGTACTTTTTGTTTTGTTTTCACAGGAAACCATTTGATTCGAGGAAAAGAACAACCTAACATCAGACAAGCTCACAAATGGAAGATACCATTACAGTTGACTCCAGAATTCAATCGGCATATTGGTAGACAGGGAGATGTCCTTCTTGTTCCATTAAAGCCGCGCATTTCTGAAAATAATTTCCAAGGTAACCATAATATGAACCCGAGACATTGGAAAGACGTGTCCCGACGTCAAAGGTCATTGCTGAAAACGGAACGGTTCGTTAAGGGATCACCAACTTTGAAATTATCTACATAAGACACTTGATACAAACATAACGTGTGTAACTTAAGCTTGGATGATTTCAACAACCCTTTAAAAAACTGAGTTCAGTCCAGACTGACATAATCCTAATCGTTTACCTTAGGAAACTTTTAAGGATCCCTATCCCACTGTTGTTTGTACGTACAGTAACCTCACCTACATTTCGTTTTGGGTACACAACTGTAGCTGGACTTGGCCAGGACACTTCGTTTGACCAGGTAGCACCGTTGGTTCAAGAGACGGTATAATGATCTGAGGTCCAGCGTTTGAATCCGGGTCTGGCCCAATCACACTTTTCTTCACTCGGAACACTCTTGTTGTTTTTTTTGGTATATTTCATATATATTTTTCATAAAAGTCCTGCAATGTGTGTTTTCTATATCATAAATTGTTTATATCAAAGCTATAGTCATGCTGCTAAAAATCAAAAAAGAAATCCAATGCACAGTTAGTTTTCTTGCAGTGGTATGGGGATCTTAATACCTAAAGCCTACAAGTTCTACAAGTGAAGGGTATACTGGTGAACAGATTAATAATGTGTGTGTAATATAGATACTGGTACCCAGGACACAGATCCTCGTCAGCCCAAGTGATACACAGATACAAAGAGGAGGCAGCATCTACAAGACAGGGAGGATCTAAAACCTTTGTCACATCACGAGCTCAATGACGTATTCAACGGATCAATGCTATAGAATATTGTAGTTGTTATTGATTTCAAAATAAAATATTAACATTTGCTTTGCATCCTTCCATTGAAATGCATTGAGAAGGCAAATGTTGTTATGAGACTATATAACAACATTTGCTATTGTGACGTCATCAGTTTCATTGTTGTCAACACTTAATTTGCTGTTCAAAAAACTGTTCGAAATAACTAAATAAAGCATAACTACTCTATCAAAATGTAAATATAAGCAATGAATATTTTAGCAAATCTTGTTATGGTCCTATAACACACATTTCTATTGCTGACAAATTTACAGAAAGTCCTACCGGGATTTATTAAGTTTGTTATCAATAGCAATGTGTGTTATAGAACCATAACAATGTTTGCTAAAATATTCACTGCTTAAATGAATAAAGGCTTTACTATATTCACGTGAGTTGTAATATAATTTATTTTGTTGTGGAAACAAGAAGCGGGTATAATCATGTATACAAAGAAAGATACATTATACTTGTCATGTCAAAATCATAACACACTTAAACAATTTGATATCATCATTTTAGGGATGAGCTATAATAAATGTTTTGCATTTGCTCCATATAGATTTAGTAGGCCAAATCCAAATGTCCAAATTGGAAGACCCAAGCTTCCTTGCAAGAAATTCACAATTTTATGAAGAACCTATTTAGGCTTCATCAGGTTTAATGGAAATGGACTGGAAAGGTTGATAATGTTTAGAAAACAGAAGTCAGGATGATCATCTTTGATCGTGAATTAACCTAAATATAACAACAAGTGGAAAGGTTATGAGAGAATTATAGGTATTTTATTTTTATTTTATTTTTAAAAAAAATCAGACTTTTTTGCTTCTTACATGGCCTCTAAGAGGCTAAGACTGACCATATGAAACCTGTAGCATTTCTGAGAAGTCAAAAAGTGAAAATTTTAACAGATCTGATTCACATGTTCTTAAAACATAAAATTAACAATAGTAGAAAATACATTAATTCACCAAGGGCTGCCCAAGATATACAATATCTATACAATTGTGTTAGGACCTTGTCTAGAGGTCAAACACATGTTACAGAACTCGCATACCAAATTCCGACTGGTACACATATCAAAGTTTTACTTTCTGCACAAACAATGTACATATTAAACTTGTCCCAATGTTTCAAGACCAACCAGTCCCTTTGTCAAGCTTTGACTGAGTGAGCAATTTCTATTTTTTACCTGTACAACGATGTGACTAAATTGTATATTTTTTTATGTCACTCGACCCGGGACGTTTCGTCTATTGATAGGGAGTGTATACACACTGCATCAGATAGGTTACAGGTAGGGTGTAGATATCGCCCCCTCCCCTGTTATGTCAGTATCGAGTCATACAGATGATTCAGCTGTTGTTCCCCATCGTCTCTGTTCATGTTCTGAGTTTTCCTGATTTTGATTGCTTCTTTGATTTGTTTCATTTTTATGTGTTGTTCCATTTAACTATCTTGGCATTGTCCCAATTGACGATGTGATTTTGGGTGTTAGCGTGATCTGTTAATGTCGATTTATTGTACTGGATGGCGGATGTTTTGCGTGTGGATCTGGCGAATGTGACGTTGCTCATTTTCTCTACATCCTTTTGATGTTCCTTCAGACGTGTACCACATTTCCTCCCAGTTTCACCTATATATGGGTGCTGACAATTTTTTGCACAGAATTTGATATACAACTTCTGTTTTGTCAAAAGTGCCAGTCTTGTCTTTGGGGTGCACCAGTAATTGTCTGAGTGTTGTCAGTGGTCTCATCGGGGTGCTGAAATGGTTTTCCCTCATCACCCGGTCAAATGCCTCAGATGTCCCCTTCACGTAGGGTATTGTGACCCCGCCTTAGCATTTGGTTTTCTGTACCTGTAACCTATCTGATACAGTGTGTTTAAGTTCCCTATCGATAGGCGAAATGTCCTGGGTCGAGTGACATACAAAAATATACAATTTCGTCACATCGTTGTACTGGTAAAAACATAGAAATCGTTCACTCAGTCATAGCTTGACAAAGGGACCAGTCGGTCTTGAAACTTTGCAACACATTTAATAGGTACATTGTTAGTAAAACTTTGATATCACATATTTTCAAACTGATGAATCTTATTGAAGATATCCGACTGGTACACATTTTGGCTAGGATCAATGCTGACATGATTCGATATGTTTGTTTTGAACAGCTCAATATATAACACATAACATACATACAGGTAAGTAATTAGCACCACTATAATGGACAAGAATGTTGCATATCAACTTTCATAAAACCTTTACCTCAATGTAAAGCTATAACAGCTTACCGACGAAAAGTGAAAAATGTTCCTGATTAGTTTGTATCTGAGTGAAGTTGTTTTAAAGGCTGATTACCAAAGTTTTCACTATGAGAAAATCTAAGTATCGTTTGAACACAAACAGTAATTGAAAATTTATTTTGAAAGCTTTAGAAAATGTCTGTTAGCTTTGTTAAGCAAATTAAGGGTGCGAATGACCAGTGTCTTAGAGCTACTCTGTGCCGCTGTAAATACCTCACTCAGCCAAAATGTGCTGAGTCAGTAAAGTCAGCTGTCAGAAAATATCGAGACATTTTGCCTAATAGTTTGTGTTTTACATGATGCTATCAACAGCTATGGTCATATAAGGATGTGCCAGGTTTTGATGGTGGAGGATAGCCAAAGTTCCCGATGAAAAAACACCAACCTATGGCCTGAACCTGGCGACTGCCCAACATGTATCTTGAGGTTGAGGTCATAACTGTTCTCGGATGCACCATGAATCTTGATGAAAGGTTGAATTGGGACTAAATTACTGAAATCTGAGATTTTCTTTCTAATACTTGAGATATACACATATGTATTATGTGTTTATAATGTTCTATTTGCAAAGAGCTTATCAGTCTATACTTTTTCACAGTGTTCTATTTACTTTAAGTATCGAGACAATTCATCCAAATTTGATACAACGTAATGTTTATCCACTTCCTGTGGTAGGTTGTTCATGTCCTTGCGATATAGAACTCCAGTCAAGCCTGCTTCCCTGGCTCCGCAGTAGTCATTGTGAAAATGATCACCAACATGGAGAGATTGACAAGCTGGACACTCTCCGAGTCTAAGAGCTTCCTGGAAAATCCTAACATCTGGTTTGGCAATTTTGAACTCTTTTGAGGAGATCACAAAATCAAAGTGATGTTTTAAAGCTATTTTATTCAGAATTGTCTCCAAACGTTCATCAAAATTTGAAATAACTCCCAATTTGACACCGCTGTTTTTCAGATTCTGTAATGTCTGATCTGCCCCTGGAAGAACCTCCCATCCATTGGATGTTCCGAAATGTATATACAAATGTGTGAAAATTGTTGAAATTGTGCTGTCGTTTCCTTGGTAACCAGCATCAACAAAAGTTTTCTTGACAAGATCTTGCCACCAATGGTGGGAGGCCATGTTTTCCTCTGCTCCGAAATTTGGATGTTGTTGGTTCTGTCTCGCCCAATGTGTTTTGAAGGCCTGGTTGATTTTGACTGGATCCAATTCCACGCCGTACAGTTTGGAGATCTGGGCATACTGCTGACCAACCCCTCCGAGTACCCTCAGGATAGTGTTGGTCACGTCAAATGTTATCATCTTGACTGGATTAGCCATCTGAAATGTAGAACAGACATACAACAGGATCCACATATAAATACATCAAAATCTGAGTATAATAGAATCTGATACAATTTTAAAAGTTCCAAACACAGACTGGGAGAGCAAAATTATATCTGTGAATGTACTTGTCCATCCAGTCTATTTTTTAACATTTATAGTACATTAAATCGGTGAGATTAAAATATTATTATTAAGGTTTGATTAAGAGTTAACATCCTCATAACAGCTTGGGTCACATGAAGATGGTGTCATCAGCGATGACCATGCCACTTTGAAGTGCCATCTCATTGAAAAGTCATCACCAGTGTTGGTAATTGTTTCAAACTTCCAAATCGTTACCATTTCTTACACGATGAAGTACTAAACAATCATAAACTGAAAATAAAATAAATAGAAAAACATTCACAACAAGAGGCCCAGAGGGCCTGTATCGCTCACCTGAATATGTTTAAAATAATTGGTATGAAGTAAAGATATAACACTCCATGGTAGGTGCTGTAAGTACATATGAAATTTGAAAAAGATCCATCCAGTACTTGAGATATAGCGAGAACAAACTTCAAACAGATCAAGCCCCACCCCTATGCCCCTAGGGATACTCCAGACTAAATTAGGATAAAATTCCTTAATCCCTATGGTAGAAGAAGGATTTTAAAGGTTTTTCCTCTATTTCCCCTATTGGGCCCTGCCCTCTGCTCCCAGAGGGGTCAGACACACCGTTTATACAAAATTGGTTCCCCTTCACCCAAGGATGCTTCATACCAAATTTGGACAAAATCCTGTCATTCCAACAGAAGAAGAAGGATTTTGACGAATTTGCTAATTTCCCCTATTGGGCCCCTCCCTTCTGCCCCTGGGGGCCAGACCTAAGTTTTATACAAAATTGGTTCCCCTTCACCCAAGGATTCTTTAGACCAATTATGGGACAAATCCTTTCATTCCTACAGAAGAAGCAGGATTTTAAAGAACTTGCTCTATTTCCCCTTTTTGGCCCCGCCCCTCAGCCCCGAGGGGGGCCAGACTCACCATTTATACAAAATTGGTTCCCCTTTACCCAAGAATGCTTCAGACTAAATATGGACCAAATCCTTTCATCCCTATAGAAGAAGGATTTTAAAGAATTTGCTATATTTCCTCTATTGAGCCCCGCCCCTCAGCCCCCAGGGGGAGGGGCTAGACCCACCATTTATACCAACCTTGTTCTCCTTCCCTCTAGGATGCTTCTGAGCAAATATGGAACAAATCCTTTCATTCCTACAGAAGAAGAAGGATTTTAAAGAATTTGCTATATTTCCCCTATTTGGCCCGCCCCTCAGCCCCCAGGGGGGCCACACCCACCGTTTATACAAAATTGAGTCCCCTTGGCCTAAGGATGCTCCCAACTAAATTTAATCAAAATCTACTTGGTCGTTCAGGACTAGTAGCGTTTTAAAAGAAAAGTTGACGGAAGGGCATGTTATGTAGGACAGACAATGGGAAGAAAAGCTAGGTTAATGGAGGACAGACAAAAGGAGGAATATAAGGGAGGATAACTTGATCATACATATATTTTTACTTCAGGTCATAGCAGTATGATAAGTTATTAGAACATGTGAAAAATGTGAGTCACCTTTTGCCAAGCATATCCTATTGACCTGGAATGTCAGTGTAGGAAATTTGTTGTGGGCTCATCAATTCTTAAAAGTTACATTTGAAAATATGACCTGACTGTTAGCAAATGAAATACATATTCATAAAATCTGGTGAACATTAAATTTATATATATATATAAAAGAAGTCGTAATAAAAGAACAGAATTAAACTATTATACAATCAAATTTCAGGAACTGAACTTGAATAGTAGATCTTGATAACCAAATTCTTGTATCAATATATTGACCACTAATTAATTTGTATGTTTAGCATTTGTTTTTTCAACACCTTTAAAAATAATGTTTCGAAATTGCAAGCCTTATTTAATTTACAATTATTATGAATAAGTTTACTTATATTAATCACAAATGTTGTCCCAAATAAATTGGAGAAAAGCCGGAGCTTTGACAGATGACCCTTTACCTTTTTATATCTGATCAGGAAATTGAACCCCATTTGTTAAAGACGATTTTGCTTACACAATCGAACAACCCAAAATGATGTTTTCATTGTCATGTTGAGATAATTTCTACGGTCTTCTTTGTCAATAAATACTGTTATGTGGTTTGATGTCATGTAGATTTGTAGAACGATGAAAGGGAATGTTTTAATATATGCAAATCAAATGAAGAATCCAAAGATTTAAGGACAAGGAAATGTAGATAATTGACCTTTGACCTTTAATTGACTTAAGTGAAAATGGTACGAAACGTATGCACATTGTAAGGATTGATGCACATTTGTTTAAATGTCACTGAGAAATATGGTATTTAAGTAATGATGAAATTAGTATCATGGACAGGCTCGGCGTCAACATAAGAAAATACAAATGGTTATACTGTTGTCTTGGCATAACAGCAGGACTAAAAGCATATTACACTATTCCTAAGGCAGGACAAGAAAAGTACATTGTTATAGATGTATAGTTGTTAAGAAAATGTGAAAAAGACAAGGGTCAGTAATTAATTGAATGTCATAATGAAGTGACTGCTTAAAGTATAACTTTGTATAATAACTTGAGTTGCAAAGTCTGTAGTTATCCTTTTTTTCCTTCATTTAAATAATTAAAACTCTTGACACAGTTTCTGGTGCTGATGACCATCCTATAAAGCTACTCAAAACTTCACTCAGGACAACAAAATTAAAACATTTTTTTTTCCAAAGATGCAAACAGTTTTAATTGAGAGGTAAATCTTATTCGAATCGTATTGCATGCATGAAGCAATTACAAGAAATGATCATGCATTCTCTCACCAAGCGTTAAATATTGGGTCATCATTAAGCATAACATGGAAATAGATAAATCCTTCATCAAGGGAGATAACTGTTGCGAGTTTACATACACAGCAGCAAAGGGCACCTGTCAACAATATTTCAGCGATGTGAAATGCATAAATAAGAATGACACACCGAGATAAGCACAGCTATGTAAGGATCGGACAAAATACAGAAGTTGGATAACAATATGCAAATCGTAGTCGTATTCACTAGAGAACAAATGTATAAATAGCAGACAGATAAGTTTTCACCTTTGGTTGTCAAGTCGAAACTTGTCTGCCGGAAGTACCAGCGAAGACATCAAATTACTGTTATGTGATTGGTACATTTACAAAGCACATTCATAAGTAAAAAAGTAAAATAATAAAACGAAGAATTATTGACTATGAAAGAGGTTAGTTGTTTACTTATTTTATGATTTCTATATTTGATTTTTTAAAATGAGATTTCATTGAAAAAATATTGAAGAAATATCCGCAGTAACTGGCATGGCGCGTAATCAATGACAACACTTGTGGAGTGTGTTCTTGCGAGAGTCGTTATCGGTGGATTGTAACATGGAACAAGGTGGTAAGTTGCAACAAAATATCGCATTGCTTAGAGATATGCTTACTCTATCGTTCTAGGGTATAATGTGTATATTTTCATCATTCAAATGGCAGAAAAATATGTTCGAAATGAACGAAGCAAGCAGTGACACCTCTCTGTCACTGCTCCTACGATTGACATTGTATTTGTTAAATTGAAGTTAAAATTCTTGGTTTAGATAAGATAAGGGTCTTTAATGGTGCCAGTATTTTATTTGACAAGTGCATTAATTCATTTACGCGGTCAAAATATGATAATGGTTTTAAATGACCAAACGAAAACATGAGTTAGAATAGATCTTCTTTGCAAAAAAATAAAAATAAAGTAAAAAAAATAGTCAGTCGAAGTTCGAACAAAGTAACACTACTTTGTCATAAGACCTACTTCATACTCTCTGACAGAGCATGGAACTTGGTTCTTTAATTGTCATTTTGATAGTTTACGGTTATTTTTTTAAAATTTAGAAACATTGAGTTTAACATGAATATCAGGATCTGGTGAATTTAATTGATACATAAATACTGTATGAAATACACCTGGTAATCTTCCAATCGATTTAACATTCAGGAAAAAGTATTGTAAAAAAATATTACAGTGTACTTCTATATATACTTAAGTCTTTTACTGATGCTTTAAAATTTAATAATTATTTGAGTCTGATGACAGCAAGTGTTGTTGTAGGCGGTCAAAACAGCTAGGTCTTAGTGAGAGGGACTTACACAACCTATAAAATTTTCAATGTGTCGTTTCGATTACTAGAACGATATGTACACTGTCACTTTCATCAGACAAATGACAAGTGAAGTGTATGCACACAAAGGTGTAAAATGTGTACGAGTTGTCCACAAAATCGATGTTGATTTCGGCTACGCTGTAAGCGAAAGTACAATAGTTTTTATATAGGTACCGAAATGACTCGATCCAGCTACGCTTTGTTAAATACTTGGTCATAGATGTGCAAGAGTCTTTAAACCCCCTCGTCTCGATTTAGAAGTGCATATTTAGGTGTGCACACGCTTCACTGGTCATTTGTCTGATGAAGGTGACAGTGTACATATCATACTAGTCATCGAAACATCACAAAGAAAATTTTATTGGTTGTGTAAAAAAAGAACTTTTCATAATCCATACTTACCAACCTGAAGAAAATGTTTAGAAAAAGGTCTTAGTGATTTATAAATCCTATTGCCCAATGCTTTTTTTGTCCACTGTCTAATTGAGACTTGACAAAAGGGATTTTTGTGGTATGTATTTTCAGACAAGACCTGATTATATTTTTCGAAAATGTTGGTGAGTCCCACAGGAAAATCATGAATCTATGCCTGTACTTTAACACCTGTGTTCCAATTATCCCTGCTTCAACTCCTTTACTATTGGTATATTGTTAAGTACACATGAGTTTATAAGTGCAGCCTGGCTTGACTATGAGTTTGAATGCACTAGTAATTTAAAAAACAGTTTCTGTGAAATTTAGGTTCCAGTACTAAACCTTAATGTCCATACTGTTATTTTAAAATTTCCATCTGAGGCTGCCTCATGTTTATTTAACATCCAGGCTCTAAATATAACAGGATGTGGTGCTGGTTTACGATAGAATTTTAATTGTACACAATATTTACAGACTCTTTAACTCCGGAACAGATAAATCAATACACTGATAGTTCCATACACATACAATGTATTGGCATGGGGTACTACATTTTGTACATGTATAAACATAGGTCTTTCTCCGGTCACCTTTGACCTATTGTATGATAGAGACGAAGGAAATTACCTTTTACACGACTGAGATGAATAGTTTACAGTTACGTAGTGTTAAAGGTTGATTTATTATTGGGTGTGAGTATCCGTATAGTTATCATCAGGGGTTTTGCCAGGTATTTTGGGAAAGGCCCCAAAGCTGGAATTGGGAAAATATCATCAGCATAAATTTGGCAAAAATTGTGAAATATCATCAGTGTTCCCACTAGTACGAGTTTGGGAAATATCGTAAGTTTGGAAAAAATAAAACCTGGATTGTGATTAACAAACACTTCTCTAGCTGTTTCTTGCAGTAAATTGTATAGCAATAAACAAACACATACATTTTCAGTGTTTTTGTTGATTTAATTTCAAATTTTCATTATTTATATATTTTGAATGCTCCTTCGTGGACGGTAATACTTTGGATGTTGCATATATAACGACTAGAAACTTGTATAAACATGCTTTTTAATGCGATTGGGAAAATGAAAACTGAAATTGGGAAAATACAGAGTCATTTTTCATTTGGGAATGGGTCCCTATACTGGACCCGATAAACACCTGGAAAAAACCCTGATCATAGTCTGTGTGTATGTTTATAATCAAGTAATAAAAGTACCTGACTGTGCATCCAATTAGGGGACCTGAAGTTGATTTATGCAGTTCCATAATCAGAGTGACAAAATCATATTGAATTATGTTAATTTTATAGTCAAATGGTTGACAAATGTTGGTTAACACAGATTTATTGCAAAAGAACTGAAAATTACAGTCCCCAGTATAATGTGCCACTCATTTCATTTGCCACCTCCCTCATCACTGCCGACGGGTTAGCTGTGCAGTGATCACAGGTATATTATTATTTGTTATACGTATGCATGCAGACAGTTGTTGCGATGAACTTTCTGCATACCAGGGTACCTGGGGTTGTCTCGTAACATTAGGAAAACCTGTTGATAGTACGTTTACATGTACTTGAATTTAAAGAAATAGCTTTAGCGATCACTTTCTTAACGGCCAATTGATTTGAAGTTGGAATGTATTCAAAACACACATATTTGCTGACCTAGATATTGTACTTTTTGGTCAGCAAATAATTTGCCCTACTGTTAAATATATGTACAAACCTGTGTAAGAGAAATATGGCTTGCAGATTATGTACAGGCAATAGAGCGTGAAGGTCTTTCTGTATTCTAAGTGGGCCTGATCTGATAATTGATTGATCAAGTTTGATTTACAATAATGAATTAAACCTCAAATGCTATGTTGTTTGATAATGCAATAAATAACTGGTTTATAATAGTTTTCAAGGTGTATAATTTGCATATCAAATAAATTCGTTCAAACAATGTCTGGTAAATTTGTTTACGCCAAGACATGTAATTATGTCATTATTTTGATTTACATCCTGTAACTTAATTTGTTTAGTGTTAGTAATGCACAATCACAAAAAACTTTATAAACACCTTAAGATAATACGTTTTTGGATTGCCTATACAGATATTTCCTATGAAGCATATCAGACGATCCAAGTTACCGTCTTTTGGAACACTTATAGACTTGTATGTAGTGTATAGACCTCATTATGTATTTGTCTGGTGCTCAGCATGTTCACTTTGATACATGTACACAAGTCAACTGAATTCGGGCCAAATGATGGCATTGATTTGTTTCCGCCTTCGTCTCTCTAAAAATTATGGTATACCCGTAGATACGTATAGACAAAACATTTTTACAAAGGTTATTAAATGCAGGGAGTTCAATTCAGAAATTAATAAAATAAGCAAAATAACATCAGGTTACGTAATCACTAAACAGCAGAATTGGTAGTTTAAACCAAACATAAATATTCGTTTACCTAAATATTGATTATAAATTTATATATTATTTCAATACAATATCTGACTCTAAATAGATTACCGTCAGGGTTACATGAAGATCCGACTGATGACATTTTTAATAACACTTAGCCAGAAATTTAACTTCAGATATGGAAATATATTGGTTTTGAAGGTGTTCCATTATACAGATTTCACTGCAGAAACTTGAGAAAGGTAACTTATTACAGGTAAAACTACACATATCGGATCCACATACAATTTCCACAGGTATCAAACAATAATCATGAGGAGCCATGCATTTGAACAAAAAATTTCAGTCATCAATATTTTCTAAGTTAATATGGATTTGACAAGTAACTAGTAAATGGGTCCCTGTTAGCAAATTCAATTTTGAGAAGCTAAAAAAAGCGAGTTTGTAATGAAAGGTGCCAATGGCCCCATATACATCCCCCAACAGAATTGCAGCATAACCGTATTTATAGGAAGAACATTCAACCAGTTTCATTTTATGAAGGATGGCACTTTCATACAAGTATTCAAACAATTTCATCAAGTCACATCATTTAATATGATTAATCTCCTAATAGAGCATTTCGTGAGAATAAAAATATAATTAAGATTTTAATCAACAACATGTCATGTTTTTAACACCATGTTTGCTATTATTTTGGTGATACATGCATTTCATTATCAATAAAAATCAGTACAACACCGTTATAATGGGGATAATCAGGTGTAATATTGATTTAAATTGCCTCTAATTATGAGATTATGTGCCTTTTGAGGCAATATACTTGTACTAAACTAAATGCAGTAGTTAAAAATAACACCATTTAAATTCATCTCAAAAGAGTCCTTTAAATTCTTAAAGAATGAGATGTACAATGTACGTACACAAAGTATGGTAATTGAAATTTTTTAATTGCTTCTCATAAAAATGATAATTACAGAACCACAAATTTATTATACCGGAGCTTTATAAGTGTTCAGAATGCTGTAAAAGGCACATCAGATCTATATAATAAATAATTTGTATGACACTGTGGAACTGCAGTTTCACTACTGTACAGGCAAGGGATGAATAGTGGATGAATTTTAAATGAATTTATGTAGAATTCTTTGAATCTTTATTAGCTGTTTCGTTTTATTTCGAAAATGAGCGGCAGACTTCAATGCAAAACAGTTTATTAAAAATAAAATACTTTAGATTAAAATTCATTTCTGTGACTTAAAAATTATGAAATTGATTTGAAATTTTTCTCAATTCTCCAAGTCCCCCACCTGGAATGATTCTGAATTGGTAATGGTGTTCAACGATTTGATTGAAAACATCTTGAGTATAATTCTAAACTGTCTGATAGATATTGAACTTACACCTGAGATGGTATGACTTTATGA